AGACGAGTTGTAGTTGCTCATGACTGGTGACATCCCGATGTCGGACTGTGTTTTGTTTCCGCACTGTTCTATTCTACCTTACATTTTGGTATTTTAGCTTATTAATGACTTTTAAATGACTTATTATAATTGCTAGTTTGGTTTTGGGGTTTGTGTCGGCCGCTAATTTAAAATTCAAATATGTGTTATACCTTAACGTAAATTGGTCATCAGTTGGTTTTTCACCTATTTTTGTGCTTTGAGTCCATAAAAAATATATTTTGGTTTTGGACTCACAAGAAGCTTATACATCAGCTTGCAGTAGGAACTTACAAGTAGCTTATACAACAGGTTGCACTAGCAACCTACAAGCAGCTTGCAGTAGCAGCTTGCACAGTAGCTTCCTTTCTTCTACAATAGAAGAGATTTCAGTTCATTATGTACATCAGTTTGAAGCTGAATAATATATCAATATCTCTCTATACTTGTTTTCGGTTTATTTACTTTACTGTTTTTATTTTATAATACGTTATCAGCACGAGACTCTGATATTTTAAGCACTTTATTTGAGTTTAATTTTTTGTGCATGAAGCAACTCATAGCCACAGAGAAGACGAGAAAAACAATGGCTATTGTCAAGTAGTATCATTCCTTTGTATTCACTCATGTTTCCTACTAGCTAAGTTTATAATCTGCATAAGATTATATATATATATATATATATATATATGTATGTAAGATGATCGTTAGATAACCATCTGGTCATTTGTACTATAATTATCACATGTGATCTTGAACAACTTATAAATTTTAAAATACCGTAATTTGTATACTTATATATTCTGTTTTACACTTACATGATCTTGAATTAAGGTTCTAATTTTACTCATGAAGAGTAATATCGCAGAGGGAATTACAAAGTGGATAACATTATTAGATCCACTTAAACTCCAGCAGAGTTTGCAAGATATATACAACCACCAGAAATGATGATGTTTTATATATCTCATTGTAACTAAATTTTGTTAAACACCAAAAGTAGTATATGCCTATGACCACCAGAAGTGATAATTTAGGCTTGTCGTAGTTACAACAAAGATAAGTTAGAGGAAAGTTCTCTATATTACAGGCATACCTTGATTTGCTCCTGAACTAGAAAATATATTAAAAGAGGTTAGACGTCATCACAATTTAATGTGGCTATTGCACATTTAGATAATTATGTTCCATCTCCTGGGGAAGAGAACTTTTGGTAATATTAATCATTCCCTGGAGTGAATGTGACAATATTAATAAAGCTTGTAAATATGAACGCGCTCTTGATGTAAATATATTACGATTCACCTCCAGAAGAGGTAATATGATTGAGAGAATATATACTCAGTTTTTCGTATTTTAAATTTGCTCCTGAAGAAGTAACACAATTGAAATTTCCTCCTGAAGCAGGAAAATATTATAAAGAGGTATTTTCTTGTGCTTAAACAAGTGTTTTATATTGTTCATTTGATTATGATTTTCTTTCATGATACCAGAAGTGTCTGAGCATTTGATAGTACAAAATGTATCAAAAACTCCTGAAGAGCTAACTGTGTGTCTAGAAGATTCATGACATTAGTATTGTCCGATAAATATTAGATTATGGATAATAAATGAAGGCTCTCGAAGAGCTTATATATACAAATATGTCATTCATATTATATGATTATGGTAAAAACATATGTTGTAGTGAACCTGAAGTTTACTAATACAAATGTCTATCATATTGAGACTACAAATAATTGGAAGATTGAAAATTTTTATGTTTCCACAATTACAGGGGGTAAAATAATATGTATGTGAGAAGTTACCCACATTATTCTTCAATTTGTACTACATCATGTGTCACAATAAACAAGAAGTTTACTAATGCAAAAGCAGTACAATAAATCAGAATTTCGCTGAGGCAAAAGTAGCCACAGTAAATCAGAAGTTTACTAATGCAAAAGTTTATGCCATAGTAAATCAGAAGATTACTAAGAGATAGCACATGCTATGATAAACTTGAAGTTTTTTATTTGCCATTTTTAAATGAGATATTTGAGAATTCAGATTAGAAGATTCTTCAAGAATTCTCCTATGTTGCTTGTTCTCATAATAAATTGATTATACCAGCTTGGGACTAAGTCCCTTGAATTCTGGAATATATAAGGTGAATATGAGCTTATTCACCTATCATGTGAACCACTTATAGATGCATATATGAGATGGTTACACGTGTGTTTATTGTCAACCTATAGTTTGGCATTTGAAATTGTTTTTCTCAATTACCAGCATAATTTTCAAATTATGAAATCAAGACAGTTCATCTTGATAATGCTGGTTTATATCCAAGCTGGTTTAACATTGAAAACCTCCTATTAATCTTATGAGAACAAATTTTCCTATGTTGATCTAAGATTTCTATATTGCATACAACAACACTTGTATGCATCAGACCAACAAGATATGATAAGTCACCCCCTTACAATTGGTTCTGGATCAGAAACTAAATATTTTACTATCTAATAACTGTTAATGTATGGTATATGATTAATTTCTCTACCACAATGCACAAAGATAGGTTCCCAAAGAAGATTCAGGATATATGTTAGTTTTTCTAACATTTGGGGGATGAAATAAGAAGTTGAAAGATATGCTATATGAATCGAATTATCATTAACATGATCCTCACTCATAAAATAATTCAAGTCAAACGCCAGAAGCATTTGCTTATTCAAAATTAAATATCATATTTCAGCTGCAAATGCTCCTATTAAAATAAAAATTCCTGAACGATAAAGTTTACTGCACGCATGAAGCGTAGTAAACTGATCGGTTCCAAAGTTAACATTCCTTAAAAAATGATAGGAGCAAATGATCAAAGTGATCATAATGAGGAGGAAATGAGCTCTAGAAGAGCCCGCAACATAAAATTTCATGAAACTCTAGAAGATGGTTCAGATACCTGAAAATAAAAAAAGTGATGAGATCTCAACTAGTAGTGTCGCTTAGGAACCGATACAAAATGATCGTCGACGATATATTTGATATAATATAGTGCACAATATTAAAAAAGATTGTGCATACACCTAAAGATGTCATGCTATTTCAATGCAAGTCATAATCTATATGACTAATTTGATTAAATCTATATGAAGATCCTGAAGGATTTAAAATGCTTGAAGCATACAATTCAAAGTCTCGAGAAATGTACTTGATCAAATAATTTTTTTCCGTACGATTTAAAACAATTTGAGCGCTTGTGGTATAATCGCCTCAGTGAATATTTGATGAAAGAAGGTACATAAATGATATTATTTGTTCATTTATTTTTGTCAAGAAAATGTAATCAGAATTTGTTATACCGATGACATAAATCTTGTTGGAACTCCAAAAGAGCTCCAAAAGGCAATTGAATATCTTAAGAAAGAATTTTAGATGAAAGATCTTGGAAAGACAAAACTTTGTCTTGGTCTGTAAATTGAACATTTAGCATACGCGATCTTTATCCATCAATTTGCCTATACAGAAAGAATCTTAAGTGCACCCATTGAGTACATAAATGGTTGTTCGATCACTTGAAGTGAATAAGGATTCATTCCGACCTCTTGAAGAGGATGAGGAACACCTTGGTCTTGAAATACCCTATCTCAGTGCAATTGGTGCACTTATGTGTCTTGCTAATGCTACAAGGCTTGAAATAGCATTTTTTGTTTACTAGCAAGATATAGTTCTTCTCCTACACGAAGACATTGGAACATGATTAAGCATATATTGCGATATTTAAAGGGAACTCTTGATATGGGTTTATTTATGCTAACAAAGGTAGTGTAGATTTTGTTGGTTATGCAGTGTAGGTTATTTATTTGATCTCCATGAAGCTCGATCTCAAACTGGGTATGTCTTTACATATGGAGGTATTGTCATATCATGGCGCTCCACAAAGCAATCTATTGTTGCTACTTCTTCAAATCATGCTGAGATAATAGCTATTCATGAAGAAAGTAGGGAATGCGTATGGTTGAGATCAATGATTCATTTTATTCGAGAAAAATATAGGTTGGAATGTGATAAAAGACCCACAGTTTTATACGAAGACAACGATGCATGCATAACCCAATTAAGGGGAGGATTCATAAAAGGAGATAGAATGAAACACATTTCACCAAAGTTATTCTTCACACACGATCTCTAAAAAAATGGCAATATCGATGTGCAGCAAATCTGGTCAAGTGACAAATCCGATAGATTTATTCACTAAATCTTTACCAACTTCAACTTTTGAGAAGATGGTATACAAGATTGAAATGCAGAGACTCAAATATGTGAAATAAGATTTTCATCAGGGGGAGCAAAATTCGCGCTGCACTCTTTTTTCCTTACTAAGGGTTTTCCTTATAAAATTTTTAATGAGGCAGCTGGCAATGCGTATCACTAAATATGTGTGCTCTTTTTCCTTCACTAGGATTTTTTTCCACGGAGTTTTTCCTAGTAAGGTTTTAATGAGGCACATTATCTTTTAATGAACATCCAAGGGAGTGTTATAAATATATTATATTATGTATGTCCATTTAGTACTCTGTTATAAATGTTTCCTGAAGAAGCTTATCCATATTGGACTCTACTGTAAATATGTTTATCTATTTAGTATTATATTGAAAATAAGCCTTCTGAAGAAGCTTATCATTTCGGTACTCCATTGTGGATAAATATTACTCCTGTATAAGATTATCTATAGCTGGAACAATAACAACTTACAAGAAGCTTATATAGCAGCTTGCAGTAGGAGCTTACAAGCAGCTTATACAACAGCTTGCAGTAGCAACTTACATAGCAGCTCGCAGTAGCAACTTACACAACAACTTCCTTTCTTCTATAACTAGAAGAAAATTCAGTTCATTATATTGAGTAATATATTAATCTCTCTATACCTGTTTTTGGTTTATTTACTTTACAATTATTATTTAATAACAATAAGAACGATTGTGCCAAATGTGAATTTCATAAGAGGCGGAGTACCGTAAAACGATCGTACGGAAGCCAATCGGAACGCCTTTTACTTTTGCTCTTAAAAGATTCACGCACTCATCACTGTATTGACTTCTTACTTCGCACCGCCGCCGTGTCCTCTCTCAATCACCGTCAATTCCTAATCCTCCGCCACCATTAGGAAAATAACCCTAGCAATTGTCTGATGGGCGAGCAAACCCAACCACAATCAATAACTGAAACACAAACTCCATCCCTATCTCAACCCAATTCTGATTCCACCGCTTTATCAACAAACCCTCCCGTCGATATTCCCCCAAATCCCTCAAACCCTTCTAAAATCCCCATTCGCCCCCAGAAAATCCGTAAACTCTCTTCCACTCCCTCCCCCCAATCCACCAATCAAAAACCCACTGATTCCTCGCAATCCGTAGTCACATCAAACGGCAAAGGGACAATCACCAAAAATCGCCGGAGGAGTGCATCACAATTAACAAGGGTTTTGCCTCAAGTAATCAAACCATTATCTGCTAATGGAGAAATCGAAAATGCCCTTCGCCATCTGCGCTTAGCGGACCCACTTCTTTGCTCCTTAATAGATACCCTTCCTTTACCTGCATTTGATTCACACCAACTTCCATTTCTAGCACTTTGCAAGAGTATTCTCTATCAACAATTAGCTTATAAAGCGGGCACTTCCATTTACACGCGTTTCGTCTCCCTTTGTGGCAGCGAGGATGCTGTTTGCCCTGACATGGTTCTCTCCTTATCTGCTCAACAGCTCAAGCAGATTGGTATCTCGGGGAGAAAAGCAAGTTACCTTTATGACCTTGCAAATAAGTATAAAACAGGGATTTTAGCAGACGATACTGTTGTAAAGATGGATGATAGGTCTTTGTTTACAATGCTTTCGATGGTGAAAGGGATTGGTTCTTGGTCAGTGCATATGTTCATGATATTTTCGCTGCACAGACCGGATGTGTTGCCTGTTAGCGACTTGGGGGTTAGGAAAGGAGTACAAATGCTGTATGGGTTGGACGAATTGCCTAGGCCTTCGCAAATGGAGCAATTGTGTGAGAAATGGAGGCCATATCGGTCCATCGGGGCATGGTATATGTGGCGGTTTATTGAGGGAAAGGGGACCCCAGCTACTGCAGCAGCAGCTATGGAGGGTGGTAGTGTGCAGCCTTTGCAGCAAATTGAGCCTCAACAGGAGCCAGAACAACATCAATTGCAACTTCTGGAGCCTATTGATGGCATTGGCAGCCTCGGGTATGTTTACAATTTTGCTTTCGAATGTTTATATGATATTCTGTGCATATGATCAGTGTGTTATTCATGGCACATTGCACAAGTAAATTCTTTTTTCTTACACACACACACACACACACACACACATATATATATATATATATATATATATATATATATATATATATATATATATATATATATATATATATATATATATATGTATGTATATATATATATGTATGTATGTATGTATGTATGTATGTATGTATGTATGTATGTATGTATGTATATATGTATGTATGTATATATATGTATGTATGTATGTATGTATGTTAAAATGTTTCATTTTGCATGAATATTATATATTTGGTGTGATTCAAGACAACAAACTGCACTTAGAATCTTTGTAAGAGCAAAGAACTAAAGCTTTCCTTTGGTGATTTTGGCTTAAGGAGTTGTGTGTGTGCCTGTGTTTCTTTTTTTATGGAGTAAGTAGTTTCATTTATGGCATCAAGAAGATGCAGAGAGTACAAAAGAGAGTTTGTTAGGTCCATTACATGAAGTTCTATGCTAAATCTAACAGACTAACAAAGTCCAAACTGTTTAACAGGATATTTACAGGAGATAGATTGCACCACTAAATAGACATAAAAGGCATCTTGGCTTAAGGGAGTGGTTTGGAGTTGATATTCCATCGGAACGTCTATTATTCCATTCTGTCCATACACACCAAACAAATGCTAGCAGACATCATTTTCCAGATTTTCTTGATGGATCTACCAACTTTCCCAGAATTCTTGCATTCATTGGCATCCTTAATATTCTCTGGAATGCCCCAACTGAGTCCAAAAACTGAGAGGAACATGCTCTAGCTGTACAGTGTAAGAGGTGTCTATTGGTTTCTGTACTTTGGTGACACATATAACATCTATTGACAGTTTATATGGCACTTTCTCTTAGGTTGTCCTGGGTCACATGCTTCATAAAGCTCTGTCAAACTGAGAAAAATTATCGTTATTGGTAACTTTGTTTTCCAGATTAGTTTCCAGGGCCGAGTATCAACCATCTCATTTTGAGCACGGAGGTGTGAGTAGCCTGCTTTAACAGAATATGTACCATCAGTCTTATTGCCCCACCTTAGGCTATCAGCCGTCTGCTCATTTACTGTGCAACTCTCCAGTCTTGCAAGTAGGTCCTCAAGCTCCCAATCATGTCCGTATCTTCTGAAGTGTAGTTTTCAGGTGCTACCTTCTCTATTATGTGAAATGGTAGAATATGAGGCACAGGAAACTGGAAAAGTTTGGAAAGTCATTCTTTAGAGTTGAGTTATCCAGCCATTTGTCTTTCCAAATATTGATGTGTTATCCATTGCCTACAAAAAGAAATGTTCTGAAAGAACTCGTCCCAAAGTTTTTGTATACTCTTCCAGAGACCAACACCATGAGAGGCCCTTGATAGCATGGTGCACCATTGACTTTGAACTCCATGCGTTGCAGTCACTACCTTTTTCCATAGCCATTTCATTAATATACATTTGCTTTGCGCAGCAAGATCTCTAATACCCAAACCTGAAAGAACTCGTCCCAAAGTTTTTGTATACTCTTCCAGAGACCAACACCATGAGAGGCCCTTGATAGCATGGTGCACCATTGACTTTGAACTCCATGCGTTGCAGTCACTACCTTTTGACCACTTTACCAACTGGCACTTGTGCTCCTTACTGTTACCTTCCTCAGGAAGGTTCTTCTTATCTTGTCCAGTTGCTTTTGCACCTTACTTGGGATGGAAAAGAGTGACATGTAGTAGGTAGGAATGCTATCTAACATATTGTTGATATAGCATCTGCAAGTAGCAAGGCTTTTTTGGAACTTCTTAGTTACACCATTCCAGATTTCTGTTGATCTTAATTTAGCACCAAGTTTTTGTGCTACATAAGTTGTTAGGAAAGAATCGATGCTGCAGTATAAGTTTTCTGCCAAAACCTCCAGATTAGGAACATCATTGACTGGGTAGATAGTATTTTTGAGCACAAAGCATAAAAAATGAGGAGGGTAAGATTAAGATACAACAACTTACTCACTTGGGACTCCTTTGCTGCACAAAAATCTGCAGGGAGAAGTCTATAATCATCTTCAAGATGTTGCGGTGCCGTCTGTTATATGTCGTGAAGGGGATCGATGGACAATGTCTCTTAATAGCAGAAAAAGAAGAGACTTAATAGGGCATAAAATTTTTTGTTAAATACAATAACCTGGAGGAGGGAGATGCTCTTGTATTTGAACTTCTTAAAAGTTCAAATAAGAGTGTCATGTTCAAGGTTCAAATTCTTAGAGGTGACTTCCCAGAGGAATTATTGAAGCAAAATGAAGAAGGTACCTTAGTCAATCCTGTTGAGATTGATTAGATATCTGTGTGTAGTAATTTTCCTTTTTGTTCATGGTCAATCTCTCTTTTTTAATCAAAAGGTTCCCTGTGGGTGAGGGGTGGGTCACTATCTTCTATTAATTTCGTACGTATCTGTGGTTTTCCAGTTATGTCATTGTTGATTCCAAAATTACTTTGCAAAGACTGTGGGTTTTGATGTCGGATTACTTTGCCTAGTCTCACTAAGCAAAATAAACTATGTTGCACGGATTCTCTAAAATGATGCCGCACCCTTGTCTGATTACCCAAAAAACACTACTTTTGGAGGATCCGACACGCACCCGACGACATTTTCAGAAAGTTCGAGTAACATAGAAAGTAAATATGCATTAAATGAAAACTAAATATGATATTTATTCCGTGTTTAGAGACGAAGTGATAAATATTAAATGAAAATGAGCACCAATAATTGCAACTACTAAATAAGGATCCAATTAGGCATCATAATCTTATAAGAAATAAATGTGAAATTCATGATTAGATGTAGCCTTTTTTATTAAATAATTAGATGTAACATGTGGTGCATGTGAGCTTATTTGCAACAAAATTTAAATGTTTTGGAGCTAAGTATTTGCTTTTAAAGGTGTAGATGTTGAACTTTAACACATTCATCCATGAGGACTAATTTTCGAGTGTTGTTAAATGTCTACTATACATTTTTGAATCAACGTGTCTGTTTAAAACCACCCTTTTCAATTCATTCATAACTTTTCACCATCGCTTGCCATTAGCTATAACTTCAAATAAAATATCACCTTTACACCTTTTTTATTCTCTCTGTGTAAAACGTAACACACCTCTCACGATCTCCTTAATGTTGTCAAAGGCTCATTTAAGGCGAGCTTAAGATCTGAAAAGCTCAGGGAGTGCGCTTCGCCTCGCTTAAATTGCTCTTCAGTGTAGGCAAGGCACGTAGGCATGTACACTCATTGCTCATGAGTTCTTTTTGAATCAAGCATTATGAAACAACAAATATGATCGGCAAATAAGTGTATTAGTTGATAAGGAAAACATTATGAATAAAATTTTACTCTTTTCTTAATTTATATATATATATATATATATATATATATATATATATATAAAGAAAATAGTAAAAATTTATTCATAATATATTTATATTCCTTCGCTGCGCCTTTTTTAACTAAAGCCCACACTTGTTGCGCTTTGTGCTTAAAGCCCCAATAGACCTGGAGCGCTTTTTAGAGCTTTTCGCCTTTGACAAACGTGCTTATATTCACCTCTTTCATATACTAAATTCCATTCCAAAAAGAAAAATGCCACCGAGAAGAGATATTAATGCCTCCTTCGATGAGATGGCCCAACAACTCCACACTATTCGGCTAATGGTAGATGAAACCATGGACCATATTCCTGAACAGTAAAACAAGAAGGATCAAGAGTTACAATGTCATCCTCAGCATCATCATTTATGAAAGAATAAAGCTTAATATGGGACAGACATTTAATACACTGACATTTAAACATTACCAAGGACCAATTTACATATTCATCTATATTATTATAAAAGAATGAATACAATGTCGATTTACAAAAATAACCTTATAATATTAAGCATAATAACTTATAATAAAAGGGCATAATCGAAATTCTAGATATTAGTTTTATAATCCTATTAGTTTTAGGACATAATACTACACTTTAGGAATCCTATTAGTATAATTATTTTTGGGCGGTCTAATTCATATAAAATTGAACAAGTACATATCTTTAGTCATGTAATCATATTACTTTTAGGATATACTTCTTAAAAATTTCTATTACTAATTTAATTCGAGAACGTATTATAATGTCCTATTACTAATTTAACTTGAGAATGTATTATTGTCCAAATTTATTTAGAAAAATTAGAGTCTATTTTATTATAAAAGCATAAATACAATATTAATATACCAAAATAGCCCTAAAATATTAAGCGGAAGAACTCATTGGGAAAGGACATAACTGCAATAACCTATTTTTTGGACTACAATACCTTCTTTGCTAATTTTTAATATTTAAGATTTTAAAATTAATAAAATTGTCTATTATATTCTTATTAAAAATATGTAGGAAGGTTTAACAAATTCAATTTCATAAGAATCCTCCGTATTGGCAATACATTACCACTCCATAATGTCCAATACCAAAAAAATAATATTAAATAGAGTAATGGACTGCATAAAGAGTTGAAATTGAGAAAAAAATACCCCCATGATAATATATTTTTATATTATATTTGAACTATTTTGCTACTCAAACAATTTTTTTTAATCAATTTTTTGTGTAATATTGAAAAATACCCAATTATTAAACAACAACGAAGAAAATATTAAAGAATATAAATGTGTGAGAAAGAGAAAAAAATGGTTGGTAAGAGTCAATACCACTAATGGTTCTACAAACATAAAGATCTAAAAGTAAAATGTCATATCAATCTTTTATTCTTTGAAAATAAAATTTATAGTTGATAAAACTATAATTAAGATTAAATATTCAAAACAAGAGATGAACTAATATTAAGATCTGAATCAACATAGAATAAATTATTTTCTATGTTAAAACCAAATAATTAAATCTTTTAATTAATTAACTAGCAAGAGAATCCAATTTAATTATTTTTCAATTCATCATATGAGTAAAATTCTTATTCAAGTTAAAAAAAATCTTAGGATATATAAATTTATTCCATAAAAAAAGCGTTAGAACACAAAGTAAAAAGGTTAGTATATTATTAAGAATCAAAGTGCTATACAAGTGAATGAGGAAGCACAATCAAAGCTAAATCCTAATCAAGAACAAGCTTTCAAGACTATGTTATAAAGAGTCGACTATGGTATAACGGGATTATTCCTTGTAGATGCCTCCGACGGAATCGAAATAATATTTCTATCTCATGCATTACTTGCAAATATCATATCAACAGGCATGACGCTGGTAGCAATAATAGCAAGTGGTGTACCAACAACGATTTTATTGTGAGGCCGCCCACTTTAGATTTGATATACCTCTTCAAATAACTTAAATAACCATCACAAATATATCAAAGCAGAGCAATGGTGCTAAATTTATAAGAAAAGCAAAATTGATAATATAGGATGAAGCACTTATGGCGAAGTGTCAAACGATCGAAATAATTGTCCGGAGTTCTTATTAATGAACCGTTTGGTGGAAAATTAATGGTTTGGGAGGTGATTTCTGTTAAGTACTACCAGTAGTTCCAAAATCGACAAAAGCAGAGACGGTAAAAGCTAGCTTGCCAAAGTTATACTTCTGCCTCAAATGAAAAAGATTCAACTGACAAGAAATATAAAGTGATAACAGATTCAGTATGTAGTATCTTCTTGCTTCGTGTCGGAAACGAAGAAGAGCATCCAATAAAAGATGATTTGATCTTTCCTGAACACTTGGTTATCAATCCCAATGGTAATAGTAGTGCATTTAGTAAGAGAAATAATTTTTATCATTAGATTAAAACGCAATTTGTGCAAATCGCATGATAGAATTAAAAAGATATCTTAGCTAGCAGAAATGAATATGTTGATCAACTAAATAAAAGATTGATTACAATTTTTTTTTCCAGCTCAACAGAAAATGATACCAATAATTGCTACCAAGTAGAATACTTAAATACTTTAATACCAAATGGCCTTCTACCATACTGTTTGTTGTCAAGTTTATTATTTCTTACTTATGTTAGTGTCACCATATATATAATAGACTAAGTTAAAATTGATCTTCTATTGTATATAGGTTTATTTTGAAAAAAATATGTATGTCATGCTACTGAAAAACTTAGATACACCGAATAGCTTACGTAATAGCACACAGATGGTATATAGAAATTTTGACAATAACGTCATACATGCAAAATTATGATACTGGTCAATGTGCTTCTAAGTATATTCTTATCCCTGAATTCAACTTTTGTCTTCCGAAACTAAGGAATATCCTTTTAAATTTGTGCGAAATAATTTTTAGTATGTTTATATTTTGCAAATACAACAAATAAAGCACAAGGACAAACATCCTAAATATTGAACTATTTTTACCGCAATATGTTTTCTTGCACGAACAACTGTATATTGCACTTTCAAGAGGGACATCGAGATCAACAACAAGAGTTTTGGTTAAGGCAGAGCAACCAAAGCATTAGGAGGAAACATACACAAAAAAAATATTGTCCACAAAGAAGTGTTCGTTAAGATACCATCACATTGTATACTTTTAAACTATAATACATAATTATCTAACTAACATGACAAAATTGATCATTTGTGTAAGTTTTGATGATGTCCTTTTATTTTAAATTCATGTATTATGCTAATGTAATAATATTTTTCGGCATTTAAATGATTGTTGTATTAGTATACATGAAATTTCTCTCATTAATTAACTTTTTTTGTTCCTTCATATAAATAAATATATAAATCATCACGTGTCATTATTAACGTGCAACGCACGTTTATAGATACTAGTAATTACAAAAAGGGACACACACGACAAAAGCTAAACGTCAAATAGACCAAAAAAAAAGAAGAAACAAAAGCGTAATAACATCAAGCAACCCTAATATTAGAAGCCTAAACATCTGCTTAATGGCTGGTGGAGATCCAAGTGGAGTAATGTACTCATTCGCCTTGCATAGAGGGAGAAAGATTTGACAGAGAATCCTCTTGATACTTGTGCTACGAGTACCATGTACATTTTGGTAGGGATTGAGCTCTCCTTCCACCTAACATAGGGAGGAAAGATGTATATTTTCACTGTTCTTTTGGGGAATAATCTAGAAATCTCCAAAGGCAAGTGATGTACGGTTCGAAATTCTGACAGGTAATGGGCTCCCCCTCCATCCTTATCCACTTAAATACCAGTTTTTTTTCTGTAGCATTTCAAACCTGTAACGTGCACTTAATCCACACATTGTGCGTTGCACTCTTCTAGAATGAATCCCTGCGGGTTTATATTTGTCACTGTTATATTCCTACTAACTGCACCACTCAAAATGGATGCAGGCAGGAATTTATATTATTTGTTCAGAGAAGAGGAGTTTTACCCTCTCAGGGCATGAATATTATTAGCTCTGATCCTTGAATCATAAATAAATTATTTCTCTTCTCGTGGAGTTAACCTCCCCGAGTGGTCTGATAATGTGTTACTGTTGTATATTTTATCCGTATGGAAAAGTTATTTCTTTTAGTCTGAAAGTATGATTACCTTTCCTCCGGCATTAGAAGGAGAACCATCTGATCTAAGGAGTGAAGTTTTGTTCCTTTCACTTTTATTTTGCTGAACTATGCCGGGTTGTTATGTTTGATTTCTGTCCATGTTTTAGTTATTTGGGGGACATACCAGGATACTGATATTGTGTCATTAATATTTTGGTATTAGGGCTTGCATTTGGGGCCAATGATTGAAGGGTTGAGGCGGGAACAAAGCGAATTGAGAAGAGGTTTCTGAGGTATCTGGGCGCCAATAGTCTCTTATGTTAGTATTGAGCTTTTATGATAGAGATTCTGAAGTTACGTTGACAAGCAATTGTGCTTCAGTTTTTCAAGTTTGTCAGTAAGAGTTGCAGGAAAGTAGGTGTTGTAAAGGATTTGTAAATAGCAGACCCTCATGATATTTGTAGGGAACTGCATTATCATGGTAAAAAGGGTAATATAATGCTTAATATTGTGTTTATTTAAAATTTGGTCCGCTCTTATTTCTTTTGGCCCAATGATGAAATGTAGAAGGCAGTGGAATGAATTGCTTTTAGTTGAATTGTCAGGAATTATCCCTATTGCAGCGAATTCGTCTTCATGATTTTTAGCAGTGTTGGTGATATAGCTCTTCGTCTTCGTTTTTTCCCATCTTAGTCTTGCTATTTGGGTATGAGAAACATGCTGGTATGGGCTTTTGTGGCCTGCCAATTTTGGGTTATGTGTTTTCGTTGCTGCTGCGTTTAGAAAGGTTTGAACTTTAGCAATCAAGGGGCGTGGTCTAGTAGTCAATTAGGTGGGATGAAAATTGTAGGTCAGTTTCAATTTCCAGCTCCAGCCGAGACAATTTTTTTTGATAATTTCTTCATATTCGCCTGAATTATGATGTGCAGAGTTAGTTGTTGGCTATGTTAATAGGAGATGGCAATTATTGGATAGAATAATCAAGAGCTTCGCATCAACTTATAGTATTTTTTAAAACTGGCTTTATTGGGCATACGGGCTATTAGGGGTTGTCCATTTGGGTTGCCAAGTTTGTGTCAGCAGGTTCTTCTTGCATCAACCTGAATTATTTATGAGCAATGGGCAGCCAAAACTAAAGACAGATTAAGATAATGGGGATGGGGTTGTGTCAGCGTCATCTCATCTTCAAAAGCTGCTAAGCAATCGGAGATAACCCTTATCTTGCAGAGGAACTTATTCCGTTGCTTTTGGCGGAAATACAGAAATCCAAACCTGATCTCATTCTTTTTAACTTTGCAATGAATTACCCACCATCCAGAAAAAGTGTTTGCAATCTTATTCCTTAAGACTACTTCTATGATAGCAATTATTGAGGATAGTTTAATGACAGAATGATAATGATCTCTGAATGACCATTCTCACGTCATGCTTCTGGATTTGGGTATTACAAATGAGTCACTATCTTTGGTTGAAAGAGCCTAAGGGCCCAAGAATGTGTTCGGAAAACATCTGCGTATGATATATATAAATATAAATACACCAACTTTATTAGCCCTGTAGGGAGAATTCATTCATCCTGCCACCCTTGAGCTATTTGGCAAAAGGTGAAACGGGAAGCATAGGACCTTCATATATGGAGTCCGGAACCAAAATGTGGTTCTTTTGGACTCAAACGACGAAAATGTGTGGAAAAAAGAGTTAGTGACCAAAATATGTATAACGCCCTTTTAATGGGTGCTATACCTTAACGGCCGTTTGCCCAGTTAAGGTATAGCGCCCTTTAAAAGGGCGTTATACTGGAATTTGAAAAGACAGGCAATATAGCGTCGTTTATTAAGGCGCTATACCCCTGTGGAATATATGGGTGTTAATACAAATTCAATACAGCAAAATAAACATCGCAACACAAAGGAAAATTAAAGTTTACTACTCGTCTTGTGTATTATGTAAAGTAGGAGAGAAATTATTTCCTCATTCGCTCGTGGAGATAAGTTTAGATCAGGCCAAACTCTTTCAGCCGGAACCTGTTCGGATAAAACTGCTCCAAAATAACCACCCGATTATTGAGGGATTTCCCTGCTTTGCACAACCTCATTATTGCGAATGTCTTCAGCCTTGATGTACATTTCCAACAGTTTTATCACAATAAATTTTCGGTATTGTCCTCAAAAAATCTCTCAGAGTTTCATCATCTTCGATGTTAAACTCAGCAGGACAAGCAACCCCTTGCGGAGTCACAGGATACAGATATCTTCCGGTATTCACCGAACATTTGCTCACACTCATTTTTTTACATAACAACGATACCAATGGATCGTACTCCATGTTAAGTGGCAACTTAACATTGAGACTATGGAGATAAACTATAGCTTATTGAGTTATTCGCCACCACAACCTCATCCCCCCCCCCCCTCCCAACCCCCAATATAATGTAACCCTAATTCTTCGCTCTTCAGACATTATGACAAAATGCAAAACAACTTAAGGAACAAAAATTTCATAAGACTTGAGAGAATTTTTCTGAATGATTTTTTACAAAGTCCTAAGCGTATTTAAATAAGGCAATGGGGGTTGAATTTTTGAGGTATAACGCCTTTAATAAGGGCGCTATACACATTTGAATTTTTGTTCAGTCAGTTAAGCGCAGAAAAGTTATTGGTGGGCCCACAAAATATGTATAGCGCCTTTTATTACGGCGCTATACCCTCCTGTCTTTTCAAATTCAGTATAGCACCTTAATAAAAGGCGCTATATGTATAACGCCCTTTTAAAGGGCGCTATACTTTAACTGGGCAAACGGCCGTTAAGGTATAGCGCCCTTTAAAGGGCGTTATACATATTTTGGTCACTAACTTTTTTGCCCACATATTTTCGTTGTTTGCGTCCAAAAGAACCATATTTTAATTCGGGACTCTTCATATCTGCATGTATAATGTGATTGAAATGATGGCTTATACTTTTATTATCCTTTTATTATTCCCATAGTAAACGACAAACTCTCTTCATTCTCTTACCATCTTTTACGCGAACCAAACGTTGCATATTTTAGCTTTAATAATGTCAAAGGTGACTGAAATTTTCAGCCAGTATGAGTTTTTCCAATATGGACCTTTATATATCTGGAGAATATATTGAAGTAACGTTATATGTAAAAAAGAAAATGCTATGATTGATAGCGGCCTTCACTTAAGTGTGCCAAATTGGCTCAACAGTAAATTTTTTAGAGCAGTTATGATAGTAGTTCTTTAGCACAGAAAAGGGGTTGCGGTCATAGTCTTTAGTTTGATTTTTTCTCAGTTTTGATGTCACAGTGACAAATATATGCGTATTTTAGTTAAAAAGAAACAATATACTTTGACCATAACAATATCTCTCGTCTTCAACATTTAAATAGTACCAAATTAAGTTTGTTACTATCTTTCTCTAACATGAAAACCACAACCAGTAACAATCATGAATATTAATCTAACATATCATTAACAAAACAATTAGGCAGACAAACATCAACATTACCTTATGCAACTTCCCTTTGGTTTTGTAAGCGCAGTAGTTGCACTATTCCTCTTTCTTTCTTTTCCAAATCTATGTCCTCTCCTCCAATGTATTTATAAAGAACATCACATGGGGTTAGTCGTAAACGTGATTAACAGCATATGAGAGTAAATAGCAAATTTTCAGTTGTGTGTGGAAAACAGTTGTGTTCACCATAATGCAGACTCCACTAATCTCTGCTATTCATAAGTCTTTTTGCTTTTCGGGAGTAGCAAGCGTGCAGCTAGTGATGTGACTTGACCATAATCTCCATTCGATTTTGCCTGTCCTCCTTTGTTTTGCTCTTTCCTGGACTATTTCCCTTTTCTCGTTCCAAATTTGAATATCATAGTATGCTATTTCTGCGGTTTCAGTTTATGTAATACTATTTCTTGAACAGTTTGTCCAAAAACGAATACATATTAATATATTTGAAAGCAATTAATTTTAAACTTTTTTTTTGGGCAATAATCTGTGAATATTGCCATAACAAACCAAACGCTTTACAAACTAAGAGCAGTTCCAATCCACTAGGATCAGAATCTCTCTAGCTCTCAAACAAAAGACAAACGATAACAAGGAACTCTTATTGTTATCAGTTTTAACTACTCTAACTACATATCCTCTGTATCAAAATTGGGCAATTTCTAGCTCATCTAGATCCTGCTAACATATTAATCCTTTCCCTAAGTTCCTTCTTAATTTGTATCTCTATAAATGCATTATTTACACTTCTTGAAGTGCTTTTGATTCCGAGCTTGCCGAGTGTAGTATATTATCGCACTAATGATTGCTGCTGTTACTTCTTTCCTGAATGGCTGAATACATACAAAGCCACTTAAAGTTGGCACGATTTTTCATTTAGACACCTGAATTTAAGGGTGTTCCTAATGAGCACGTACATTACATGAACTTCGTTCCAATTAGGCACTTCTTGCTGAGTTGGCACGTAGGGTGAGTTTCATCGGATATAGGCGCGTGAAGAGCCACAAAACAGATTTTTTTTTTTTTTTGTCTTTTTTATTTCCTCCTTCTTCTTCTTTATGTCCACTACCATTTCCACCATTGCCTCCTCCACTTTCACCATTGTTGTGCCTCCACCATTAATTTAGCTCGAAATTTTGAACCAATCCTTCTCCAAACAACCAGCCGCCGCCAAGCTCTCCCCTCCTCACCACCAAATCCTCCATTAACAAAGAAAAAATCAAATGCTTATAAAATCTGTAAAGAGGATAGACAAATAGGAAAATGTCTCTATTTAGTTGTCTTTAATTTCAAAGAAGTTTCTGCTTGACAAATGCAAAGTTGTAAGTTTATGATACCTTAATCGTCTCACTAATTCTCCTAACAAATACAAATTTTTTATTTCAGCACCCATACCTGCAACCGAGTTGGACAGTGGTTTTCTATTATCAAATTTACAAGGAAAACTATAGTTGATTAAGGTGGTGTTAGAACTGGGTGCGATTGGGAAAACCAGATCTAAGGTTTTTCGGAGAAGCCTTCTGGTGCTGTTCTGGTGGAGAAGCAGGCTCGCTGCGGGAATGTTATAATTTCCATGGTTTAAAAAAAAAAATCGAAACACCATTAATGGGTCTTTATAAAGCTTGAAGGTTTAAAATGGGTTACTTGATTTGATGAAAAATTGAGAAATTAATATTGGGGTTGTCTTCGAGTCTTGGTGGGGAATCTTTAGATGAAGTTATAACAAATTTGGAGGAATTTCTCTTGAAATTTTGGATTAAAATCGTGGTTGGAACAAGAATAGACATGAAGATAGTGAAGAACACCAAGAACAATGATTTTAAGAACACCAATGTGTCTTTTTTTTGTCTTTTCTTTTGTTAATGATGTGTCATTTTCTGATTGGGTATAAATTAAGTTTTTTTTCTTTTTGAGAATGTTTTTTTATTTTGTTTACTAAATAGTTTTTTCTTTTTTTTTAACTCAAAATGATTTATATCCTTTTTTTTATTTGTCATTTGCCACGTCACCCGCGAGTGCATTGCACACACTTTGAAAGTTTGGTTAATTGTCAAAAAAGTGCCTAATTGGAACAAGTTTAGTGTAGTATAAGTGCTCAATAGGAACAACCTTCATTTTAGGTGTCT